CCCCGACGAGACCACGGTCAACCATCTACAACCACCGTGTCACCAATGATGACTTTTCATCTAATTGTTCATATTATACTATTTGACTCAGCTCATATTCTTACTGTACCTGCAGGTACAAATTGTGTATTTAAAATACACTGCACTTTGTTAAGCAAACAAATGCAATTATAGAAAAGCAGTCATTATAATAATTCAGTTAGGTATACAATGAAATGTTTATAAATTAACAATTAAAATTATTATATCCTTATGACTAATTTAAATCACATAAACGGTTATTGTTTATGTACTTCAAGCTTAATAATATCTTAAACAAAATATAGGTTTAAGTATAATGTTTAGAAATAAGAAAAAAAGACAGTACAAAAAAAAAATGATTGTTTTTTATTTTATTCCCAGTTCACATTGACGATTGACCAATAATATTTCCCGTACCTACGTATAAATATAAGTGTATGCATAATTTTCAATTGACATTAATATACATATATTATTATTATTATTATTTATTTTAATTATTATTATTATTATTTCAAAGCTAAAATTAATAATATTATAGAATATGTTTGTTAAGTATTAAGGATAAAATAATGTTAATCATGGAACAGAAATATTATTATTATTTACATTGGAATTAATAAACTCGGTAGGTACAAATTGCAGAGCAGATTTTATGAAAACCATGAAATTATTACAACTTTTAAGTTAATGATTATTACCTTGTAGTTGTAACGTTTATTAGACACATAATGATTAATTATTATTTATTACTAATTAGACATTACATTCCACGCATAATTAAATTAAAACTTGAAATAAATATCTGTTGAAAAAAGACTTACTTACAACACAGTTATTAGTTAGTATGATGAATTTATAACAACCTATGCCGTTTATTCTATAGTACAAGACAAATAAGCGTTATAACTTATAATATAGTTTTAATAAATCACAAATTCAAATAATTTTTTTTCTTAGTTCAAAAAATGTAAATTGTTTTTTATATTACTGAAATGGGTAACCTTAAAATAATTGAGGCTGTGTTGACTAGTGATAACAGACTGTAAACAGTGAAACTTCTCTATAGCGGATACTATAGGGGAATTTCAATATGTCCACTATTAAGGTGTGTCAGTAAATAGAGGTTTCATTTTACAAATCAAATACTATGTTCGATATCGACAAAATATGTCCAGTCTATGCAGTAATATAATATTATGAACAGTTTTTATTTATCATAGATAAATATAAATATCAATTGTTGATTTATGTAAATGGAGTATTATTTTATAAAAGTAATTGAAAATTATTCAACTACTTATATGAATTTGGTAACGTTAAAAAAAAACGATAAGAATATTAAAAAAGTATATTACCTATTGAATAATATCGTGTATAAAGTAACGGCTGGTTGACACACGTGTTGGATTAAAAATTGAAAACAAATTAATTATTTTTGAGAAATGAAAAAAATTACACAAGTCAAGTAATAAATTCAAATGTATACAAGTTTTACATCTTATAGGAAAAATATAATCAATTCCAACGCGATTTCTATATGAAAATAATATTATTACAAAAACATTTAGACGGAGTATAAAGGTTTTAGTATTCTTGAGTTGTTTCAAAAATGGTTTTTATGTGAAAGCTATAAAATATTTAAGGGTCAATAGTTAAAGGATAGGTATAAATAAAAGCAAAAAGTTAAAAATCTTTCCAGAGGACATAAAATAAAACAAAAACTAACGTTCTATATTGCTCATCGACTCTTTCACTTGGCCAAGATGTATAATGTATAATGTATTTTACATCGGTAATAAAAGTTTTAAGAGAAGTTTACACAGCTTTTAGTGAGTTGAATTCGTGGATTGGAGATCTCCATCAAATGTGAAAAACGAATGTATGGAACATTTAAGCAAATTTTTTGCGCTCACGCAAAATATAATACATTTTTAGTTAGAATACATATTATTATAATTTCTTGTTTTATTATGTATGCAATTATTATTTATATGGTACTTTTTTATATTTATTTATGCATTACACATCAACGTTCCAGCCACTGACTTCATCCCTGGTCTGTTGAAATACATGTATGTAATAATGAAATATGTATAATACGTCCCTATAACGGCTATAACGTATTATAATCCACAACCTATTATTCCGCATAAATTGATGGGAAAATGTTTAACTTTATCTTTTCCGATCTCGTACAACTTCGTTTACATAACAATAAACAATATCTTTGCCGACGGTTGTCAAAGAAAAATGATGTGAAATACGTATTTGTTGAAAGTTTTAGACTGGGTGGAATTCAAAGTTTAGGTATCGATTTCACTTTTAATATGTGCATCACACATTATGTATATGGAATGTACTAATTTTTGTTATTAACCATTAAAATTTGACAAAATAATCGGTATTCAATAAATTATTATAGGTATTTATTTTTATGGCGTAGGTACCTATTCATTATTTTTTCTGGATAAGATAAAAATTATGCTTCACATTCACCTGCCTCCAACACGGTTTAGGTAAATTTATAACATCAAACCAGAAATTAATAAAATTAAATAAATGTATTGTTTCTGACACTCAATAGTATTAATATAAATATATAGTATATGCATATATAATATATATAAATAATAATTAATTCATAATTGCGCATTTTGTGGACTATAAATAACTGTATGTTATTTTTTGCAGGTAATATATTTATTTTAACAAACGAAATAAGATAAGACTTTCAGCAACGGACATCGTGATTCTACTGCTATCGTCCATTTTTTTTATCATTTCATACCAAAATGTTCAAGAATTGCACAATCATTTTCGTCTAAAAAAGGTCTAAATCTGTTGTTCACTTTTTGGTGATACTTGACGATCAATTTGGAGTTGTTGAACCTCCTGTGAAAGTTCCTTTTTTGCACTAATAATAATTTTGTGTAGTTTGTTTCAGTGGGGCGTAGAACGTCATCTAATTGTTGTTTCGGATTTAAGTAATTTATTTTAAAACTCAAACAATTCTCAAAAATTTGGGACATTTTCTTTATGAACTAATATCTATTATGAAATCGTTTTTCAAAGCAGTTAATGCACTAACTCTTATTAGTTTTTATTCAGGTACATCTACTATGTCATTTGACACTTCTTCTTGACTAATAACAGGAAAATATCTCTACTTTAAAGCTAAAAAAATCGTCATGTAAAAATCATGGAAGACAGCGGCGACTTCGGAATGTTGTTTATAATATTCTATTTTTGATGGTTTTTGCAAGCAAGCAAGAAGTTGCTAAATACGAAGCCGGGACTGTTTATGCTGTAAGTGTTTGTATTTAACTTATGTATTTTTATTTGTGAATAACTATTTTCTCGCCATAGACCGCATTGAAAGTCCCGACGATTTTCAATAATATTTATTTAACGATACATATTTTTTATGTCTGCAGAAATTACAAAATTATACGAACGGAATCCAAAGCAATATTAAATCCCCCTTGGATCATCTATAATCTAATGCTATTATACACTGTACTTATTATTATTATACATCTCTGAGTAGTATAACAGTCATAATTTAAACTTGAAAATAATGACTGAATTATTATATTCTCATATCCAGGGAGTACATATTATTACCTTAAGGCCCATGCAAATGTATCATTTTTAAGGAGTTGTGTTTAGGCAATTATTTCGTTCCTGCGATTACTGATCGTCTTTGTGTGTGCGTAGTAAATGATCATTAGTGTGGATAACACCCCTATCACAACCCGCGACCCGCATCAATTTACAATACATTTGTGGTACAAGTGCGGGGGTGCCGGTCATCGTGGATGTCGTGTCATAGTGGGGACACCCCACACTGTCCAGCATACCCTTGAATCTAGACTCCGTTGCTGAAGGTTTAGGTACACAGGTTTTAGGTAGGTAGACAAAAGAGTAACACACAGTTTATTTGTGACGCGTTGCGTCGATAGTTATTTATTGTAAGACAAAGTAAAATGCACATGATCGTACGCAGTACGAATAAGTACGTACATTGGTCAAGCGGTCGCATGGTCGGTTTCGGGTCGACGGAATCGGGAGTGCTAGTTGCAAGCGCGATCAAGGGAGCGTTCGGTTACGTCGGAGAGACGAGGACGTTTAATAATACTTATCAGGCCTATAATCTCTATATTTTCATCAACTGTTTTTGTTATTATTAAAAGTTTAGGTAATTCCTACAAAAAGTAATTTAGTAATGTATTATAATTTATATTATATCAACGGACATTTTAAATCTGTTATTACAATAAATTGATAACATAGATGCTGGTACTTTGGTCTTCACTAAATTGTTGTGATGGTTGATAAATGTATGTATGCAATGAAATCGGTAGTGCCGGTACTTTAGTCTTCACTAAATTGTTGTGGTGGTTGATAAATGTATGCATGAAATAAAATCGGGAATGAATTGTCTACCATTTAAATATAAATAATTTTATAATTATTCATATAAGAAACTACTATTTTGAAATTAAAAAAAGACAAATTGTATAGAGTATGCATATGCGGGTATACATAACTAAGAATTTGGGGGAGGGAGTGGCCCGCCACTGGTTCGAACCCCGGCCACGGGTGGCACTTCTCTTCGGGCAGTCGCGGTGTCTGAACTGCCCATCTGGGCATGGCGGATACCTACGGGTGCCCACTTGAAAATTCTGCCAAATTAAAACACACGTGTTTACAACCTTCAGTACCCTCCCCCACAGTTAAAAATCACCCAATGGCCTAAGTTGCCGCGGGTTAATTAATGAAAAAAAATAATAATAATAACTAAGAATTGTCTTCCTAACCCCATATTTTTGGGGCATGTTTTATTATATTTAATCATATTTGTAAACAAATCAATATTCTATTACACAACCTATGTACGTTGATACGTTATACGATGCAAATAACACAAACTAATTCATTAAGATGTTTGTAACACCTATAGTCATAGTACATACCTGCAGCGAGTACGGTACTGAGTCCGGTCGGTATCCCCAGCCCGAGGTTGCCAAATGAACCTTTCTCTTCTATGCAAGCCACGCTGCCCATGACGACTGCAAGTATGCCACAGACGATCTGCGGGCAAAGCATAAAAACGATAAAAATTATAGTCTTAAAATAATATATTATATCGAACTACGAAATATAATACGATTATCATCGTTATAAGATACTTTTGTTGAACATCTCAGTACCTAGATATAAAAGCGTCCATTCGGTACATTAAATTTACTGAAATCGACAACGAAAAGAAGTCAATATGAGCTAGTGTTCAAATATTTGAAACTGGTAGTGTAAGGGTTTCGTATGTACATATTTATTCAGCAAGAAAGCGGAAAGAGAAAAACGTTATCTGAAAAGCAATAACTTCATTGGGTTCGGACACGGAGGTCCAAAAATCGGACCGGCTATCGATTACAAATGATCTCGACGCGTGTGTCTTATAAAAGAAACAAATAAAGTGTCGCTGTTATTTTGGTATGCATTGTTCTTTTAATGTGACGAAAATCAAAAATTCTGAATGTTTTAAATGTAAAATACAATGTGCAGCAAATAAAATAAGGAATTAAATAGTATCAATGCCACTGTAAATACCTATGATGTGCAACATTCTCCAAAAATACTTTTTTTATACATATGATGTAGCGTGTATAACACAATTCATTATAAACGCAGTCATTCACCAAACATACTCATTGAATTTTTTTCTTTAATAATGCATTTATTTAAATTCTTATTTTGGGAATTTTTAAGTTTACCAAAGAACCAATATTTTCAATATACTTAGATTTTTTTTGTACCATTTTATGAGTATCCTCTTAAGTTACCAACTTCTTTTTAAAAGTGAAGACCAACATTTTTTACAGTCAATTGTTAAGCAGATTATTTTTTTTTTTTTTTAATGATGAAGAAGAATAGGTGTGAGTATTCTAGGTGACTCATGTGAAAAGTATCAAATATCAATGAACTATGAAATAATATTAAAAACATTGATGTTTAAAATATTAGCCCCCTTGCAGGGTTAATGGAATTCCGCCAATGCTTTGTTCCGTAATGTATATGTGAACTAATAAATATTTTTAAAAATTCAAATTTTAAAGATGAGCTGGATGAGCAGGATTTTGGCAAACAGAAATCAAACATTTTTTTAACAGAAAATAAAATAGTTATTATTATGATTGGATATAATTTATTTGACATTAGTGATTTACCCGAAATTTAACAAGTTTATAAAACTTAATCTTAAAAAAAAGAAAATATTATATTATTATTTTTATTTATATCATACCTAGCATTAAAATAAAAAAATTATCAACAACCTATAGAATATAATACACATTATACTATTATATTAATGATGCTCTGTTGAAATCATATGACAATAAATAAACAAGATTTATTCAATGAAGTATCAAAAAATTATTGATAATTTATGTAGGTACCTATTATTATATATTACCTAATGAAGTTGCAGTTGACATCATTAATTGGAAAATATCTCTAACAATCTAAAGATTTCAACTTTTCTTTCTCTGAGATATCGCACTATTCTCTAGCATTATTCCTTAAGCTTTTCATTCTTTTATAATCAAAAACTGTTTTTTTTTTTTAAAACTTTGCACCTATTAATTTTCTTAAATTGTTTCAGTTTATAAAGAAAGATTTCAAATTATATTGTTATGTTTTTAGAATATTCAAGTAATTATCTACCCTGCAATATTAAACATAATAATGTAATCTTGAATAACAAAATAATAATAATTGTAGGCCAGTCAGTACCTACTCGCGGTAATTTTTTTATGTTTAACATCTAAACGCTTTTCCAGAGTTAAGGGTTAAATATTGTAAAAAACAAATTGAAAAATATGACATATTTCTTAGTTTTTCGTTAATGGAGTATTTATCGATAAACTTTTTTTCTCATTTTATAATGATAAACTTGCAGCTACTAACATGGCACCAAGGTCTGAGTATACTTAACCACTAAAATGATTACTCGATCAATGGAATACAAACACGTTCCATAACTTAGATTCTAAGTCTTAGAAGTAGCATAGAATGTATTGCCAAAGTTCAAAACAAGTTTCTTAGTTGGTAATATGAACGTGATTAAGCTGTTATGACCAAATTTGTGAATCGAAAACAATTACGGAAATGCCACTTACATGATATAACGAAGAAATATATCACACAAAAGCTTACGGATAAACCATATAATTTACAACAAACACATACTTGTCTAGTTACCAGTTTATTGCTTATAGTAAAATTATTAATAATACCTATATAAGTTTAACTACTTTAACTTAAAAATAATATTAAAATATGGCAACTTCTTCGGGGAGTAAAATCTCTATTAAATGTCGAGTATTACTTTACCTATACTTCTATAGAAAAAAGTTTAATTAATGAAATTGATTAGACTGAATGGTACTTTAAACACGTCATTTTTTGATACTTTCAATAGTTTCAATTATTTCTTTTAGAGTAACCATATAAAACGGTATACCGTTAAGAAAATAAAATAAATATCAGAAAGTGTAGTTTTAAAGAATTGATTTTCGAATGACAATCATTGCTTAATGCGCTTTCAGATGTTTGATAACAACGACAGTCGATACCTATTTGTAATTTGTATATCACTACAACTGAGTTGAGCGAATCGAAGGAGTACATGATTCTGTATCATAACAAGTTCTATAATGTTTAAAATATTAGTAATAATACATTTTATTCACCCAGTTTGAGTTCAACCTAATTAATATTATACTTTTTATCATATAGTTTTAAATGTTTTAATGCAGATAGATTAGAGTTATATGAGATTTTTAGTAATTATAAATTATGTTAATACAGTTTAAACACACCTAATTAAAAATCAGGAAATGCTATTATCTATACGGATGTTGGTTACTTGCTTCTTGGATAAACGTGTAATCTAATTAAATATGAAATTAATTATCATAGGGTCGTAGCTAGATTATCTATAGGGGGACTCCTATTTGCTCCAACTATATATTAGCCCACTGAATAATTAATTTTTATGACAAATGTCAATTGTCTTATGAAATCGCATTGGAAAACAATTCTGTGAGAAACAAGTTTTGTCGTTTTTGTTGGATATTTTCAAAAAGTAATTGCAATTTGGACGCATTCGAATTTCTAAATAACATCTAAAACTCACTTTCCTATTGAACAATATGCTACATAAAACTTTAAGAACAATTGTATTGCTCTGAAAATCGTTTTTTTTAGACAAAAGAATATAATTTAAAACCAATAGATTGGAAATATACCTCCCTTACCTAATGTCTAAAACAATTACCTACAGAGTAAAAAGAAAAAAAAACTATCAAAATGACTTAAATATAATCTATATTAGATTGCTACAACCATCGCTTTAAAATTTAACATGGCAATTCGTGTTTACATACCAGCTCAAGTGATTTACCCGATACTATATGAAGTAAAATCTGTTCCAATTTTGACATATAAAAGTAAATATTTTTTTTGTATTATTAGGACTAGCGCATTTATATGAATAGGCGTGTTTTATTTTGAAACTTTTGATTACTGCTTTTGTTTGTAATGTTCACGAATCACGTTATTTTGAAGCAAATGGTAGTAATTTTATTTTGTATATTACTCTATATTTTGAATAAAATGCATATTATTGAATATTTCAACTATAAACACGTAAAATGCATGTTTTATGGTATAAAATATAGTGGAGTTTCGTAAGAGAATAAAATAGAATATTACCTATACAAAAAATACCCGAGTATTTAATTGTCTATTATTATATAATACCTAGGTACTTAGGTATAGTAATTTAATTTATATCTTATCATAATAATTGCCATATATTATGTAGTACGAGTACCAACACCGCAACAGTATATTAGATATAATATTTAAGATTATTCTACAACTACAACACTACTTAAAGTAAAATTAGTAAGTGTTCTGAAGTAGTCATGTATTTTGACTTTTGAGTGAGTTGCGTGTTGCTTACTTGGTTGTGACATTTTTATTACCACATTGTTTCACGTAATACTTCTGAATGGGTTAAAATAATATTTTTTTAGATTTTAGAATTTTTAAACATTTAGTTTTTGTATTTTAAGTGAAATATTTTTTCGCATTTATCATTGCATATTTTTTAGCAACTAAAATGCATATTTATAATGCACATTTATTGTGCAGATGATTAATTAATCATAATTACTAAATGACAGCATCTAGAAACGCTAAAGTTAATCTATGCACCCTTAAGATATTAATGATTATAGATTTTTAAAGTTTCATGAAGATTGGTCCAGTGATATCGGAGGAGATAGCAATAAGAAATTGCTTTGGTTCGTCCAATAAATCGGTGATATACGATTGCGGACGGTACTTATCAGGGTGACCTTTTTAATAAGACGATTGCGAAAGTTTATAGTTCAGCAATGAACTCCCGAAAATGACACGATTGCGGACACGTGTTGCCAAATTTATAAATAATACTTCGATAATCTAGGAATGTCGAAATTCTGAGTGTATTAATTGTAGTATGTTACAAGTAATACTGCAGTAATAGCACACCCGTTGTTATAGTGTTATATAGTGTTCTAGTGTTATATTGTGGAAAACTGTGAAATTATTCTATCAGAACGTGGTAAAGAATTAATTCTACACAAAACAAATAAATACAGATTTAGGCGAGAGCGGAAAGACGGGTATATAAAATGGTTATGTACAAATAAAGACTGCAATGCAAGTATATTAACGACACCAGACAAAAAACTATCTATGAATTTTCTGGTGAGCATATCTGCGCTAAGAACTCTGTACAAAAAATCGAGAGACAGATATCCGAACCATAAAATGTATAGATAGACTGCGTCGCACAACTTGACAACGTTACACAAAATGTACACCAAATACCTTTTGTTATACAGCGATCTTCCGCAATCGTGTTACAAAAAATGCAAAAAAGGTAAATCTTCCTCAATCGTGTTTCACCCATAATTCTTTATCTTAATTTATTATTTGAGATATTACAGGTGGTATTTGAGAACAAATGTATATTTTCAGATTATTGAATATTTTTAGCTCATTATATAAAAACACAATATTAATTAGTCATTAGTCTTTACTAATAAAACGTTGAAACAATTTATGATAAACAAAATTAATTAATACACATTAATTTATTAAAGTCAATATTTTTATATATAAATGTATTTGTGCCAATAACAAAAATACCTGCTATGACTTATGTAATATATAATATATAAATGCTCAAAAAAGTTAAATCATGGTTGGTTTTAAAATCGTTATTCTTGGTTTTAATATGTAATTTTGTCCAAATTTGAACTTAAATTGTCTGAACAAACTAACTGTGTTAATATATTTTTAGACTATTATGTTACAGTATGAACTATTTATGAGAACCTTTGTTTTAAATTTTCAATCCGTTCAAAATATAATTTTAAATTTTCGATATTTTTATAATTGTTAAATCGTACAATGGATTTTTAATATTTCTTATCTGCTATTATAACTACCTACTTACGAGGAACCTTGCATTAAATTGTCAAGCTTTTCGATCCAACAAATATAATTTTATTGAAATTTATATAATAAAGAACTCAAAAAATTGCAACTTTAAAATGTCTATAAATCACTCAAAACGAGTCGAAATATTTTGAAAATTTTATCATGTACAGAAAATTATAAAATAAATATTTGATGGAAATATTTACCTAGGTATGGTTATAAGTTTTTAAACTACAACAAAATAAGAAAATCTTTGTATGAGAATTTCCTAATTTACGGATGAATATCCAGTTTCTAACTTCAAAAGATCGTATAAAATTAATTTGACAACAATTCATTTTGTCAACATTTTAACTTCAGATGATCATAAAAAATTATTGTTGATTTAGGCTCAACTTTTTTTTAATTACCACTATCATTAACTTATGATGAATGTTGTATTACATTTTCAAGTTTTTGAAATACCAAAAAATATATAGTTTCGACATTCATTTAAAAAAAAAAAATATTAACTCGAAATTGTCTTATGCCTATAAATAGCTCAAAAAGAGTCGAAATATTTCGATAATTTTATGGTGCATATAAATATAAACTAAATGCTAATATAAAAATTCAGTGAAAATGTCATCTATATTCAATTATTTTTTTATAGAATTCCACTAAAAAAAAATCAACTTTTTCGAAAATTGGGTTTGCGTTAGAATTTCAGTTTTTCCCTAATTTTTCGTTTGTTTTTCATGACGATTTTGAAAACTATTGGACATTTTTTCCTTTGACCTCCCAAAGTTCCAACTAGATTCACTTTCGGACTTTCCTATCAGAAAATATGCTGTTGAAGGAAATTTAAGCATTTGTCTGTCTCGAAAGGTTATTAAAAAATACAAAAAAATACACACATTATCATTGCAAAATCAATACATTCATCGGTCAGCTCAGAATCTAAAATTAACCGTTCAATACTCTAATTTATTTTTTTTAGAGAACTGAGTAAATTATTATTTTTACTATCTAGGTATAGTAAATTATTATCTTTACCTATGAAATAGCTTTGGGTAGAAAGAATTCTTAACTATTATGTTACACTTTTAAAAACGAAAATAAAATATACATAATATATTATATACTATGGTACTTTAATAACATTATTTGAGTTTTACAGCCACCTAAAGTTCAAAATTTTAAAGAAATGTCAGGAATTGTGTTTTATCCGGAATCCACTTGGAGTGTGATGATTTTATATTGCTCTCAAATGTATGATAATAATATAAAACTATATTATCCTTATTCCTACCTCAGCGTAGTGAAGATAGACAATAGTGACAAACACCTAGCTTGATAACCATATCCTTTCTGGGTTTTTTTTTTATTGGATTCTGTGAAAATAATTTTTATATTAAAAGAAACGACCAATAATAATAAAATTTACTGTTGTTTAAAAGGGAAAAGAAAAATATATGGTTTAAAAAGGTGGCACAACATATGTGAGAAATAATAATAAAGGAACGAATTCCAAACATACAACCAAAACAATAGAGAAGGTACCAATAATAACATTCACACAATAAAATCCAAACTGCTAACATTTTGCTTTGGTTAAATGAAAGTTTCATTAAATATTTGGACGATTTTATCAAATGTGACCGAAATGAACATTTTTCGTAACACTTTATTATGTTTTTTCATTTATTTACACACAAAAAAGACAATGACACAATAGCGGTTGGCACTACGCATAGCATTTCAATATAAACATTTCATCTTTATATTATTATTATTATTAGTATTTACTATATTATTATTATTATTATTATTATTATGCACCAGAAGTCCCGTATCACCCTAATTATTTCCATGGAAAATCAATATATTATTTAAATGTTGTTTTCTCAACAGTAATTAAGAAGAAAATGTGTGCTATTAAATTTAAATTTTCCTATAAATTACTGTTGAAAAAATATCATTTAAATTGTAAATGTAAGTATTGAATTTCCACGATGTCACAAAGATACTTAAGTCACTTCTTAGGGCGATACGGGAGTTTTGGGACACACTGTATAATAGTTGTATTTTTATTTTTTATACAAGAATAGTGTATTATTCAAATTAATTCTTGTCATTTTTTTGTTAATTAAATTTATTCTTGTTAGCGAATATTCATAGAATATTAAAAAAAACTACCGCGTAATAATACGTGCATAAAAAGAAATAATGTTTACAGTTAACATTTAATATTGTTTGTTGTAACTACTGAAAATTACTCAAAAACTACTAATATTTTAAATCTAAATTCGTTTTTGCGTTAAATTAATTTCGTTCCAATGGTTCAATTTCCAGATTTAAAACCCTTTTATATTGAATTACGCACCACCACCACTCATGATAATCTTCGACACACACGTCATCTGAGCGTATAAATTACATTCGTTTCCATATATATGATCAAAAAAAGGATTTTATATTAACCCCCGTATAAACATTCCTCTTTGATATGTGGCCAAATCCTTGAATATTACCTGTAGGACACGTATTCGCAGTACTTGTGAAAAAGGATAGTAATCAATGTCGTTCTTTTCCGTGCTCGCCAATCTAGTCACGATCACAGGCACGTCATCTGCTGTTTTGGTCACCTGACTGATGAGCGACTCGTGTCGTCGATACATATTAACTGCTAAAATAAAAATATTAAATTATAATAACAATGTATTATTGTGATTTGTGAATAGTTTTTAATATATTTGATGGGCACTCATGACAATGACCGAAAGCTTTTTGGACATTTCGGTTATCTGATATTATTCAATGTCATAATACTTTTCAAAACTTAAATAGAAATTATTAATAAACTATGAAAACCTTATACTATAGGCTATAATAGTTTTCCATAAAATCAATAATATAAACCAAATTTAAATATTAATAATATATTATGTTAATTTTTTCTTGTGTTGGAAGAATTATTTTGGTTTCACAGGAATAAATATCATATTATAAGACGTTTATTAAAAATTAAACTAATACAAAACAAAAATGACTTAATTATTATAAATAAAATAAAATTTGTGTATTATTAAGTTATTAACTATATAGTTATGTTAATTCAAACAGACACACATCCATTTTATATTTACAGATTCAACTAAAGCCGATGCTAAGAATACAAATTTTATTATAATTTAATATTAGTACTAAATTTAATTGCTTTATAATAGCAATATAGCATAAAACAATTATTATATACCTACTCGTATCAGTTGTATCTACTTATTTGTGAATTAATATGTCACGATTACATGAACAACGGTGATAAATAATAGGTTGCTTTACACAAAAATAGTGTGATGACAGTTATTTAATTATTTAATTATAAAAATAAGTGTGTAAGTAACAATTTAACATAATAATATATTGTTTTTCATTTTTCCTTTAAGGGTATTATGTAAATCAGTTAGCTTGTGTAGTTGTGTGAAAGTAATTATGTCTTGTGAAGTTACAACATCCCTTGTTTGGGTGTCTCAGAACACGTTTGGATTTTAATTTAATTTTTTAATACAATTTTGATATTACACAGATGTTTGGTTTAAGAACGCACAAAAAAAAGACATGTTTTTGCTTAAGTGCATGTATATACTCACTCTCTGATTTTGATAGGATCGATGCAACTTTCTCCAAATTAGGAGTTCCCAACAATTATCTTGATCCTTTTATAAAATTTCCCGACACACACAAATAAATAAATTCAATACACGTGGTTTGGTGTGGCGTGGTGGTTGCATTCAATTACGAAACGTGTTCTGAGTGCCGGTGTCACTTATTCCCGGATAGGTGACCACCACAGTTTTTAGTGACAAATCCTTGCCACATATACACACACGTCAAACGTGTTCCAATCCAACCATACCCCCCCCCTTACAAACAAGTAACAGCTAACAGCCATAAATGCCGGGCTTAAGAAAATTTTTAAAAAATGTGGGTAAGTGGATGTCACTCTGCAGTACAGTAGGTTATAAGTTGGTCAATGTATAATAGATTTTATTAAACTTGAATTCAATGATATAATAATATCATTGTATATAAGAAAAACGATTCTTAACGGAGGTGGTTTGTCAGTCTGGATATTGTATATTGTTATTATTTATTATATCCTGCAAGTTGAATTAATATTATAATTTTTTATTAATTTCTATGGTGATAACTTATAAACAAAGCGCTAGAAATTATAATCCCATTTTTAGCGGTTTTTTGTAATTTGTCGGTGGTTTTTCCTGTGGCATTAGGTAAAAACTATTGAGAAAATCGAAAAGTGACCTCTCTAAAATACCATCTTGAACCAATTTACTAAAATATAAGATACTATATGTTGAAATCGAAGTAAGTACTCCTTCTGGTAGACATTTTGTATACAGGATAAAAAAAAAATAAACACCGTTGTAAAACCACTAGCTTCCTAGATCCGCTCAGAATCTAATAATACAATACACATATTATATAGGTATTAGGTGTAATATAATATATATACATATATTGTGTTTATTAGAGATGAATTATAATGTAGGTAAAGTTTATCTGCACAATTCTAATAAACATAAATAATCAAAAATTGAGATAATAGAAATATAAAATTTAAATATATAACTTTACAAACTTAATTCGATGTTTGAGCTTGCAGGTGTCTAACTCTTCTATTCGGGGTGAAACATTGCACTTTAAACGCCATTACACGAATCAAGCTCAATATTATTTCAAAAAATTCTTCTGGATCAGGGGTCGGGAACCTTTTCGTGGGAAAGAGCTATTTTTTCAAAAAATTACAAAACTGTGATATCCAGGGATTTTTTTTTGCTCACGTATCGACTAATATAATTTTGTATTCTACCGAATAATGATGGTCGAGTTTAGATGGAACACACACATATAATATATTATATACACAATAAAACTTAATGTGTGACAAGATTAATAAATAACAACGAAAACATTCCCGACTCACGTTAAAGATAAAATATTGATTTATTTTTACCTCAAAAATCGTTATTGAGAAATTCAGAATTATTATCACCATAATAACACAGGTATAATATAATTTATATTTTACGGATCACGATATATTGATAATTATCCAAATAGCCGCAGGTTGCATGTTAAGAGCCGCAGGTTCCCAACCCCTGTTCTAGATACTAGTTTTTATATTGTTCATAGCACAAAATTCCTGTTCATATAGATGTGAGGTGGATAATGGTAACAATAATATCGTTTTTAGAGAAATATTCATGGATATTCTGGAGCTACACTCATAGATAATACATAACATTATATAATATCTATGGCTAAATTTAACCAGAAAGGATCTATGGTATTTTTTTGACTAGAAGATAATTCATGATATCAATAAACTCATTCTTATCATCATTACTAAGATCAAGTTCATTTGCATTGTTTGTGAAATTAAACAGCAGTACGACCCAATCTGCAGGTATTGTCAACGATCGAAAATAGTGATTACCTAATTTATTCTTCGAGGAACTTAAGATATTTAATTATAAGATATTGTAGTTCTTCAGAACTAATTTTTCAGCCATTTATTTTGTTAATGTAGACGAATATGTATGTAAGCTCCTACATGGTTACATGTAAAAATTACCTATGTTAGTTCCTACACTAATCGATTTGAAAATATTGGAATAATATATATTATCAAATTATTTAAATTATTATTTTTATAATAATATACATATAATATTCTAATAGTTTATGTCTTTACTCTTTATATGTTTAAATAGAGGCAAACATCAGGTTAATGAATAATGATCAAATGTCCTAAAAAAATATCGTAATACATTTCTTAAATAAATAATTATGAAAAAAATATACTATATTTTATATTCTAAATGTTGTCAAACGGATGCTAATGTCTAAAAAAATACCAATACATTTCATAAATAAACAATTGTAAAAAATAATATTTTATATTTTGTATGGCTTATCTAGGAAACCTAAATATTTAACATAATTGTATTGATTAATTTTGTTGCATAATTTAAAATTTTGTCTCGAAACTTAGGTACTCTTCACGTAGTCGTGGTAAAAAAAAATGTGTAATAATTAATAATATAATATATGCAATGTTTTTGGGTGAAATTACTTCAACAGACCGTATAAATATTGTAGAATAAATTACTATACTTATTATTTTATCAAAATACAATAAAATATACCGAGTAGTATAGGCTGGCAGACAATCTTCGCTCAGAATTGTTTTTCGTTTGCAATAATTATAATTTATAATCATTGAATTAGGTACGAGGTACATTTAGCATCTACTATACAACAGAACAACTTTCACAGTTTTGGTGTAGTTGTTTGTTAAATAATCAAATATTATTAAAAGCATTCCCACACAAATATATGTTTTTAAATTTAATTTTTGGGTAGAAAATAATAAATAGATACACAAAAACTAATCTATAATAAGATTAGTTGATTTCTTATGATTGGGATCCTAAATGTATATACGTTGTTGTAATGCTATTGTTACAAGATTTAAAATTTGTATACATTTCTTAGCATCTTCCACTCGTGATGATTAGATTCATTTGCATTAACGAGGAATTTGTGTTTCGTATTTACAATGATAGCACTTGAATACAATTGCATCATTTCAAGTTTTTGACATTTTCTAAGCTTTATTGTTCTTTGTTCATTACATTTTAAAGCTATAATTGTTACAACATTATAAATATTTGGTTTAACTGTGCGTTTGTTATGTACACAAAAGTATAAAGGTAATCTAGCTCTTACAATACCAATATAATCACTTTTAAAATGGATTACTATCGTCAACGAAATTATATTATTCAACAAAGAATTTAACTCTATTGTTGTTTTTATATTATACTATTCAGAATAATTTGTCTAAGTGTCTACAACAAAACTTCAAAGTATTTAAAATATTTTATGTGATAACTTTGATTTCTTAACTTACCTATTATTAATGATAAGATGATAATAATTTAACCCTATATGGTACTCAAACCCTGTGTTAATAATATTTTATATTATGTAGATTTAACTTGTTTATATCTTCGCTTTGAAATGTCATACCCAATATTTGTGCAGAATAAAAAAAAAATCAATGATTTATTTGACTCAATGTAAAAAAACCTGGACAAATCACACTACCGAACAGAGCGCGAACTGTACCTCGTCGTTGAGCTCACCGTTATGGTTATGTTTAAATGTTGATAAATCATTGCATATGAAAAATGATTATGAGCTAAGAAGGTTTATCAGCCATTATTTCCAAGGATATTTGATAATTTATTTATATTAATTACCTACTAAAAATAATTTTTTTTTTATTTGTAATTCGTTAGGTTGAACAAATGTTTACCAACAAATACATATATATATAAGTATATATTATATGTTCATAAATTATTGTTATTATTACCTTATAATAACAATAGCGTAGGTACCACGAGCTGTATAACAGTATAAAAAGGTTCCTAGTACCAAATACCTTAAAATTAGTCTAAATAGTTGGAAATTTTCATTTTTCTTAGGAAAATTAAAACCTAGTAAGAAATATCAATTTTATGAAAATTTTATTGGTATTAAATATTAAGCAATAAACACTAAATCAAATAATCTAAAGACTTCGTAC